TTTACTTACTACTACACACACACACACACACACACACACACACACACACACACACACACACACACACACACACACACATATTTCTAATGGAAAAGATAGGAAGGGAAGTAAAACACTAACAGGAGATGGGGAGTTTTCCTCAGTTTCAAAAATTATTTCAACAATGCAGAAAAAATTCAGGGAGCAATGTTCTCAATTTTTTCCCAAAAAAACCCTCAAAAACTATTTTCCATGATAAATTTAATTTTCAACAAAACTTTATTTTTCATTTAAAAAAAAGGCATCTGTCTCTCATAATGTTCTGAAGGGTTCCATGAGGGGAGGGGAGGCTTTGGAGTTTTTTAAAAGCTTATTAGGAGTGAAACCTTTATATTTACAGCTTTGGAGTGTGGGGTAATGGGTGTCTACTTGATTGGATTAAGTTCCAGTTTATGAACATGGTGTGCTCGATCTTTCAGATATTCTGACACACAGCCCTGGAACTTTCATCAGCCAAATAGCTTTCAGGTGTTCTCAGGTATGCTGCTCTGATAATAACTAGGGAGGGGGGGGGCTGCTTCTGGCTTATTCCAGAGATGTAGCTTTGATGCTTGACAAGCTGGTGCCTGGAGCCGGCCCTGAATGGGCCCTTGCATTCAAGCCACAGAAATAAGCTCCGGCATCAGCCTCAACTCTTGATCTTTTCCTTGGTTGTGCCACACATAGCACTACAGTCTAAGCTAGTAATCTAATCAACTGGGCTTTTGCTGTGAATGGACCCTCGCTGACAATGGATGTTGATGAAAACTCCAGCATATTGCCGGATATAACTTCCTGAATTACCAGTTACCCTACTTCCCTCACTGCCCTACCAGATCTCTAATTCCTCATCTCTTTGCGTTTCTGTTAACACAGTACAATCTAGCAACAACCATTTATTTACCTTTAATATTATTGTTATTATGGGCCACTTTCAGCCACCTTTATTGCTCACCGGAGTCCCAATTAATTAAATTACTAGACCAAACATTTATTACTCTACAGGAATAAGGATGGCAGAATATTATTGTATATACAGGGTAGCAAACCATTGTACATATCTCTCTTACCAGTGAGGCACTGCAAAAAGCCACGGCCCATCCCACCTCTTCAAAGAGATAAAGAAAGGTACTTAGTTTTTCAGAAGATACCTTTGGCCCTGCATGAGGAACTGTTTCTGCTACATGGCAACATGTGCTGCTCAGGAATGATCAGATCTTTGCCAAGTACCTGCTTGTTTGAAAAATTCCTTTAGCTTGCACAATTATTCAGCCCAAAGGATAACGTACAGTGTTTACGTTCACATTTGATTCTCCTAAACACTTTTTTGCCAGTACATTTAGTGTTCATAAAAGAGAATAAAATCACTGGCTTGTGGCAAAACCAGAAAAAACAGGTGCAGTGCAAGTTCCCCTGTGCAGCTCTGTCAATACAGTTTAATCTTGACCTGCAAGAGCTCTAGACCTCCTTGGAGCAGAGGCTTCCAGTAATGCACTGCTTTTTGTGATGTTTACAAATAAGGTATTGGACAAGACCACCAATCTTATTTAAGGTTGAGAGACTGCTGAGCTGGAATTGATATGCAAACTAGACACAATCAACAAAGGATTGAATAAGGACTGGGAATGGCTGAGCCATTACAAACATTGAATCTATCTTCCCTTGTAAGTATTCTCACACTTCTTATCAAACTGTCTGTACTGGGCTAGCTTGATTATCACTTCAAAAGTTTTTTTTCTCTTACTT